ACCTTATCTTAAATAGAATAAGGTATTTACTACATTGTAGAATATTTGCATTATAAATTTTGTCATTTCTAGATTAGTTAATCTTACATAGTAGAATTCATGGTTAATTAGTTCAACCATTTTACCTACCACAAATATCCATCTAGACATATTCGTAATAAGTTAACTATAAATAACAATAAACTTATTCTAAAATATAACACAAAATAATATGAAAAATAGAAAATAATTAATATATTAAATTGTAAATAGTCAAATTAACCCCGGACCCACCTTATCATATATTCTGCGGGCCAGCCGCCGAAACGAATAAAGCCGAAGACAGCGACCGCGTAATGTACACATCAGCGGAAGCAAGTTGGCATGGCAAATGTTGAAATATGACGAAACCAAGCAAAGTTGTAACTTAAAAAAACATTTCAATTTGTTCTTAATTCTATCCTGCCGCGTGGGGTACCGACTACCGTCACACACTCCGTGTTCGTCTCTCCAACTGTTGTATTACTTCTCCCTTTTCCAGCACCAGAAGTCTCCATACAATAAACCTCTCTCAGTCTCCGTGTAAAACTCGTCACTCTCGAGCTCCACCTTCTGTCATGGCCCTCCATAAACACATTACGAAACTGCATGCTCTTCATCACTAAAATGATTCCCCGTTTTAACCCCTATCCGTTTCCCGATTTGCTCCTCTCTCTCCAAATCAAACCCTCATCGGAGCCAACCACACTCTGCTCGCTTCTGCTCTCGCTAACTAATCATTTCATCCGTCCGTATTTTTAGGAGAAAGGAATTTAGTTTCATTCATTATTTTTTGTTGATTGATTCATTTTTTTTTTTTTTTTTTGAATTTTTTTTTTTACACAAACATATGAGGCCCACGCGGCAAGCCTAGTTTTCTGAGAACATCTGGTACGGCTGCTTTTATTCAGTGTTTTATCATAGTCGTTCGATTTGTTTACGTTGTTACATCACTGGTGAATCATGCAATATTGGCGACTTTTGTTTCTTTTCATTGCCGGAACATTTCAACCTGGTTATTCCGGTGCCGGTACCGGAGCTTCGGTGATGGCCGCAACAAAGTCGTTCGATCTAATCCGGCGGTCTTAGTCGTCGGATCTGTACACTAGTAAAGAGTGGATCAAGCCGTCCAATTCTACTCATCGGTTTTCCAGGATCTAATGCCGAAGGTTATCTTCATCCAAACGCCATCGTTGTGCGTGGAAACTCTTACGGCCAGAAGTGTATGCCTTGAAAGAGATTGGAGTGGAGGACTCGGTGAATTTTTCGGAAATCGTCGAGCCGTTGGTAATACGGAGAGGGCCACCGTATACCGTTCAAAAGTAACACGTTTGACTTCATTTTGTGTTGGGGGCCAGCCTGGACAAGTCGTCTAAGCCGTGGGATTTTGCAGCGGAGATCGTACGGACACTGAAACCCGAAGGTTTGTGTGGTGGCATGTGAAGGCTAAAGACACGTATAGTTTCAATTCGTTTTGATTTATTCAATTCTTCCTGTAAGTAGTGAAATCTCGTGATATAGATGGTTTTGATTCGTCAATGCCTACATTAGAAATGGTGTTTAAGAAGGAGGGTGAAATTGAAAAGATATCATTCTTGTCACGGGGAGCAAATTGAATCAACCATGGCATTCGAGTATAAGTGTTCGTTTCCGGGGTATAAACAGAATAGTCCGGAAGGCGAACCCTGATTCTAAAAGCCACTGAAGCCATGGATTACTTTGAAGAGAAATATAAAGAAATAAAGTCTTAACATCAATGGCTGATATAATGTTCAAGAACAGATATGTGTATGTTGATGTTGGAGCTCGGAGTTATGGGTCTAGTATAGGGAGTTGGTTTAGGAAGCAATACCCAAACAGACAGAACTTTTGAAGTGTATGCATTGAGGCTGATAAAACATTTCATGAAGAGTATAAAGTGAAAAAGAAAGTTAAATTGTTGCCTTACGCAGCTTGGGTGAGGAATGAACATTGTCCTTTGAATTAATCTGACCCGGTAAGAGGTTGAGGTTAAAGTCGAGGAATGGGTAGTTCAGCCTGTACAAACATCGTTGTCGGATGGTGGTTTTGATGGTGAAGTGGATATATTCAGGGGTTTGATTTTGCAGATTGGTTGAAGAAGACGGTAACGGAGAAGACTTTGTTGTGATGAGAGGATGTGAAGGGACGGAGTTTGATTTGATTCCGAGGTTGTTTGAAACGGGGGCAATGTTTGATAGATGGATCTTTCTTGAATGTCATTATAATAGGTGGCAGAGGTGTTGCCCTGTGAGAGGAGTTCAAAGTATGAGAGAACATATGAACAATGTTTGAATTTGTTTACTTCTCTCAGACAAAGTGGTGTTCAGTTCATCAATGGTGGTGACCGTATTCATTCTACACATTCTGTAATTTTTTTAACCCATAGTTGATTTTTTTCTTGTTTTTTTTTTTTTTTGGTTAAGTTTTTACAGTGAAAGTGTTTTAGGATGTTCTTTCTAAATATTTCTTTTGTTGTAAGAATTGCAACTGCTAATGGAAATTTCATTACTCAAGTCTGCATGGGTGGCAGACCTATACATTTCAGCTTTTAATTCTAGTGTATAGAACATGAAGTAGAGGGGAAATTTTAAAAGTGCTTTTATTAGGCTTAATTTCTGTGATTAATGAATGTTTCAGTTTGACTTGGTTACCCAAATGACCATTTTGAGGAGTTGAATGTTCTAATTTCTTCAAGTTTTAGACATTGAGAGTTAGACTTGCATATTTTGGTGTACTGGAATTATCTTTTGTTGTTTGTGGTTGTGGCTTGACAGTTAGACTTGATATTTTGGTGTACCTGAATTCTTAGCTTTGTTAGAATCTCTAAATCTCCTTTATAAATATTTGAAACCCTTGGTTATAAAAGGGACTATTGTTTTATTCATTCCGCAGAATTTGCCATTCATTGCAGACATCCCGGAGTTTGACGTTTAATTTTCTTGGTTGATAAGAACAAAGATTGGAGATTGCTTGGTGTTTGGTCTTTTTTATTGACTTGAAGAAAAACACACCGAACCTGATTTTTCGTGTTAGATGGGTGTTCCATTTCATTGAATGAATAGATGTTTTTGTACTTGAATACTACATAATTGTTTAACTTATGAGTTATTGTGCATAGAATTCCACTGGTGGTTGCAGAATTAGTGTTGATCATGAAGTGCAGAGTTTAAGGTAGTACAAATCTACCATATAAAGATAGGTGCATGTTTGTCGGTTAAAATAGAGTACAGGAATTTTTGCAGCTTTCAGTGTTTAAATTGACAGGATGGTGTCAAACCTTCCTGAAATTTACTTATGAAAGATTCATAATCTATAAGACCCAGAAAAGAAAAAAAAAAAAAAACTGAGGAATGGAAATCATATACAGAGTTGGGTATCAACCTGGTTGCGGTGGCAGCAAGTCTATTTTTTGGGGGTCCATTATTCTTTGGTTGTTGAGAATCGGTTCTTTCATAGTTTATATTTGAAGCAAATCTGCTGGCATTAGTCTGGATGTCCAGTTGGGATTATGAAGGATTGGTCCAGTCATTGCCATTTCTGTAAGGCAGAGAGAATAAGCCACTTTGATAGTTAATATATAATATTCATTCACTTATTTTGCGTTCTATGAATAGACTCCATGTGTCACTCTCTTCACCTCGCTCATCTTTTCTTTAGAAAAAGGAGAAAAGAATTTTATTACTTTGCATCTCTTGGATTTGGACTCTAAATCAATATTTTGTTGATGGTATTTATGAATTCAATAACAGTATAGTTTTCAAATCTCAAGGCATATGCTTTCTCGAAGTTGCAGATATCAAAAGCATAGAGAAATGTATTGAGTTGTTGATTCAGTAAGGGTAGTGTTGAGCATTTCAATGTTCCAATTCCAAATACATCTTAAGGATTTATTAGGAATTGAGCGTTTCAATGTTCAATAAAGGCTTTTCTTTCTTTAATTACTACCTTAATAATCATTTTAGCATAAGACTAGAAGTTATTGATCAAATTTTCCCAAGAATATTTAATATATGGCATATGGACCTATTTTCTGGTAACTAAATATCGGGCTTTTGTATTATACAATACACAGCCTCAGGTGGATTTCCCACCCAAGGTTTGTCTTAATGACCTTTCCCACCCAAAAAGTTTGCAAATACCACTTTCCCACCCACTGTTAATATTCCATTAATACCCAAAATACATTTTACTTTCTCAACCTGTATTCGACGAGTTACCAGCAGGCCGTTGAATCGAATGGTGGCGATTGATTGAATATTCACCGTCAGAATCAATTGGAAATTAGCTAAGAACAGACAAATCTAGCATTGCGATGACCGGCAATCGGCTAGAAATCAGGTACTAGAGTGAAAGGGGTTTTATAGAGAAGAGACTAGAGGTTCAAATGATGGTGACGGAGAGAATTTTTACCGTTAGGTCGGCTTTAAGTAGTATCGAACTATTAACTTTGGGTGAAAAAAATGAAATTTTGAAACTTTTTTAATGAGAAAGTGTCATTAAGACTAACCTTGGGTGGGAAAAAGTCGTTTACTCGATAAATATATTACAAATGACAAAACACGAGGGAAAACAGTTGATCATGGTGATCATGATGTGTATCTTAACTGAATTCTCTTAATAAAAGTAATGAATTATATGATTTGATGAACTGTTTATGAGATCATCCACTTCTGTATAACGTTTTTATCACTACATAACTGCTTTTTCCTCAACTGTCCAACTACCATTATAAAAAATTAATAAATAAATAAAAGATGGGGATAATAATAACTAGAATTGAATTATCTAAATAAAAAATTATATTTTAAAATTTAAACAAAGGGATAAAATTAAAATAAAATCAGTTAAGAGTTACAGATAAAATGGGGTAAAACAGTACTTAAAAAAGAAAACATAATGGTGCAGCCCCTCTCATTTTGGGTGCGAAAAGAGCTCTTTTGACTTTACATGGTAATAGAATAGAATAGATGAGCACGTCGAGAATTCAGAGAACAAAACCTATGAGAGATACAAACGAGGAACACGCCGTCTTTTGTTCTTAAAATCCACCAAAAACATTTGTTTCAATCTTTAATCTTAAAAGACATGTTTCGTGATTTGTTTTTTTTTTTAACTGTTCGAATCATTCTTTCTTCTCTTCTTTAATAAATAAAGAAATAGAAAAACAAAATTATAACCCCATTACCTTGTTTTCTCCTCCTTTTCTCTCTTCATGCACACGAACCCCTGTTTGTTTTCTTAGAAAATCGAAGTTTTCCCGGGAAATAGCTGCGTGTTGATAGGGCTTAAGTGGGTTCTTAACATGGGAGCCTGCTGTAGCATAGAGATACAATACGGAGAGAGCCGGGAGGACAATATTGAAGAGTATGAACATTATTATAAGGTTGGTGAAGAACAAAATCATGTGAGGACTGGAGATAATGGAGCCATTGTGAGGGTAGAAGGATTTTCTAAAACTGTATCAATGTTTACTCAACAAGGGAGAAAAGGGATTAATCAAGATGCCATGACAGTTTGGGAGGTAATCAATATCTTTTCATTGTAAATATAAAAAAAAAAAAAAATACCATTGTGAGGGTAGATTTTATTTTTTTTTAGATTTTTTTTTATTAGGTTGATTCATGCATAAACATTCTTGGCTCTGTTTTTCTTTATTGTTTATTTGTTTTTATCAAATATCTAATCAAATTATGGATCATATTCTTTTTCTTCTGCAAATGCCATTATTATTATTTCAAAAATCTTGATTGCATTGATGAAAATTGGCATTATAATATTGGATTTGATGAGGTTTTGTTTTGTTTTGTTTTTTTCCTTTTACATAATCTATTATAATCTTTCAGCAATTTTTTTGAATATTGTTTTCTAATCGATAATGTTGAATTTCTTCTGCTTAGGAAAAACCCATATCTAATTTCCAGCATTGAAATGTCTATTACTTGTTGCTTATGTTTGTTTGCAATATGATAGAATTGATTTGATAATTGTTGACCCAGAAATTTCTTGCTGTGATCCAAGTTGTTTATAATGAAGTTTTGCATCATAATAATGCAGTCTCAGCTTTGAGAAACTTAGGATTAGAGAAGAATGTGATCATTAACAGACGTAGATAAGAGGATTCACAGCATAAGATGTGGAAAGATTTGATTTTTGAAGTTCCTGATTCAAGTTATAATCAATTTATTATGTGGTATTTTCATATAACTATCACAAACTTGTGAATGTGAAACTTAGTGGAATGAACTTAACATTTAAACTTGATTCAGAAATTTATTGGTGAGAAAGATACAGTCTTCTGCGGTGTGTTTGATGGTCATGGTCCCTCGGGTCACAAGATTGCTCGTCATGTGCGAGACAATTTACCTTCAAAGCTGTCATTAGCAATCAAACAGTCGAGACTTAATGGCCGCCTCGATGGTGACATTGATGTTGCTGCAGGGGACAATTTCAGACATAGTGATGATCAAGAAAGTCGTCACAATGCTTTATTATCTTCTTGGAAGGCCAGCTTAGTTAAGTCTTTTAAACAATTGGATGGAGAACTTGGCTTGGATTGCACAATAGACAGCTACTGCAGTGGCACAACTGCTGTGAACATCATTAGACAGGTATTAATAGACCTCCTTCAAGTGGTAGAAAGAGTTTAGTTTTAATCTTGATTGGTTGAGATCAATTATCATAAATTTCTTCCTCTTCAATCTGCAGGATGACCTCTTGATAATTGCCAATTTGGGTGATTCTCGTGCTGTTCTTTGTACTCGAGGCAATAAGAATGAACTCGTTCCCGTCCAACTCACCACCGATTTGAAACCTGATCTTGCAAGTGGGTATCTTCTATTAGTCCACTTCAGCTAATCTAGTCTGATTTGTATAATATCTTCTCTTTGTTTGATGTTTTTACTCAGGTGAAGCTGAAAGAATCAAGAATTGCAGAGGCAGAGTTTTTGCACTGGATGAAGAACCAGATGTTTATAGAGTATGGATGCCTGATGAAGATGTCCCTGGTCTAGCCATGGCAAGGGCTTTCGGAGACTTCTGCCTCAAAGATTATGGTGTCATCTCAGTTCCGGAAGTTACTTACAGAAAACTTACAAGCGACGATGAATTTGTGGTTCTAGCAACTGATGGGGTAAGAAGTTACAACACAACCTATTTATCAATTGTAGATATCCAAATTATCTTGAAAGTCTAGTTTGAACTTGATATTTGATCTCACGGTAGAAGCAGCAAGACATTTTCTAAAATTAGATAACATTACTAAGTGAAACATTGATCTTTTTATGATGCAGATAACTGCAAAAAAGTAACTTATTATGAGCAATTTTTGTGATAGTAGATTCTTGCAATTGCTAGATCATAAATTAAAAATATTGGTTTTCCAGGTTTGGGATGTGTTGACAAACATGGAGGTCATAAGGACAGTAGCTTGTGCAAGTAAGCGATCGATGGCGGCTAAATTGGTAATAAATCGAGCTGTTCGAGCATGGAGAAGTAAATATCCAGGTTCCAAGATTGATGATTGTGCAGTGGTATGCTTGTTCCTTAAAAACAGACCTTTTATCAAGTCCAAGTCAGACATAAGTAGCGGTAGCAGTATAAATCAAGTAGAACTTGCTGTTTCTCATTCCTCTAGATCATCTGTCAGAAGTCATGGAATACCAGACTCCTTAAATGGCGGGAGTGTAGACTCGCGAGAAGAGTATAGTGCCCTTAAAGGAGTAAGTAGAGTTAACTCAATAGTGAAGCTTCCTCGATTTACCCGTGGTTCAAGTCAGGGGAGAAAAGCAAAGCATTATGAAGATGTTCAAGCTTAAAGGCAATCTTTTCAAATATTTTTCAACAACTAATATTTGTGCAGAAGACAAAGAAGAAAATAGTATTGAAAAATGTTAAAGCCCCTGTGTAATTTGTGTCTGCTTTGTCATTTATCTAAAAAAACACATAAAGATGCTTTGAAGATATCTTTAAATCAGAATTTACTATTGCCTACAGAAATTACAGCATATGACTATGTGGATTATGTTACTACTTGTGAAATGAACTGCAATATTATAATTAAGTCGCTCTGTTTTTTCCTTCTTCTTTTTTGTTACACGTTCTTGGCAATCAAGGCTGCAAATTCATGAATGAGCCTACATTTCTGAGTATAAAAGAACTGAAAATTAGGAAGATAATAATAATGAACACTATCACAGATGCAGCTTCATCAAATAAGCTGCCACAGAACATAATGTAATCAAAATCACAAGCTATTCAACTTAATGAATCAGAAACTAAACTAGAAATATCCAAATCATGTAGGCAACCAGCTAAGCCAATAACTACATCCTTCCCTTTTACCATATACTAAGTGAATGCTTTTCACCTGCTTCAATCTCAAGGCCAAAAAAATTCTGTTTAGAATAATGGATCGAAGTAATTCAAGTGATTTTTTTTTTGTTTTTTTTTTTTTTTTTTTTTTTGATATGGTAGAAAATTATGGGTCAATAAGGCAGAAATTTAGTAAGTTATGATAAATTTTGGTTCTCACAGTCAATTCAAATAAGTCTTTAGGTCGAGACACAGAGAGTTGATCTCGGCTTAATTTTAGGTTGGAGAAGTTTCATGTTCTAAGAATCTATGAAATGCCAGCCACACAATAACAATCAAATACTATCTTCTCAATTTTTGCTCAAATAATTCATATAAACCTCAGACTATCGCATATTGTTTTTCTCTTCCTTTGCCCAAAAACCATATTTTCTAACTATTTTCATATACAGAATTCTCTCATTGACCCTTCTCCGCAAATGCAAAAGACACGTTATTTTTGATGCAGACAGCAATGCTGTATTCTGCGAACCATTGGAAAGAATGAGGTTGACATCTACAGCTGAAATGGCACCTCTTCCAATTTTTATTGGATGCTGCTTCCGTTGGCATTGATTGGTTACGTTGCAATTTTCAGTCCCTTTTAAGCGTCTTGGCCACCTTCTTTTGTTTCACAGATACTGGTGAGTTCTCACCGTTTTGTAGCTTGATATTGGCATTAGTTTCTGTTTATATGTTTGAAGAGCTACACAGGATGATATGGTAGTGTGTTTATATTGTTGCAGGCTGGAATTGTACTAGGGCCGACTTGTCTTGGACGCATTGATGTGTTCAACATGAATGTATTCACCCCCAGAAATATTATGGCGTTGAATGTATTTGAAGCTTTAGGAGTGTTTTATATATTTTTCTTGTTAGCATTCAAACAGACATGTCCATTCTTAAAAGATCCGGAAGACTGCAGTTATATAGGCATAGGAACCTACGTAATTCCATAATTGTAACCACAGTTTCGGCTTTCATAATAAGAAATCTTTTGATTAGATGAATCAGTTCGTCATTCATCCAACTGCTGCCTCATTACACACCACAATTTCTTTCCATGTAATTATCCTTTTCTTGACTGAACTCAAACTCCTTAACTCAGAACTAGGCCGCCTTGCTCTATCTTCTGCATTGATCAACAGCTCAGTCGGCCTTCTTCTTTTTATAATTGGTGATTATGCAAAAGAGAGCTCACACCTTACTGAGAGATATAGTTCTAATGAACCTAAGCGATGTGATCATCGTTATAAGCATCTTTTTCGGGCCCGTCAATTGGTGTTAGGATGATGAAGCAAACCCCAGAAGGAGCACCCTTGAAGCATGATTATATATGGCTATTAATATCATTCTTCTTTTAGTTTATTTTTTCGGGGAAATTTCAGAAAATGCTTTGATGGGAGCGGTTATTTGGGAATGGTAATTCCTCACAGCCGCCAATGGGATCTCGCTTAGCAACTAGAATTCATTATGTTGTTTGGGCAGTGTTCATGCCTTGTTATTGTTAAATATTGGCAGAAATATCAATTTATTCGATGTAAAACTCCATTCTTTCATTGTGACAGAGTTTCTCATCACTGAATCGACCGTGGTGAAATTTTTGTCGCTTTAATCCCATACTCTATTACAAAATACCCTTTTGGATGCTGTCTCACTCGGCTTAGTTTTGAACTGCCGAGGCATCATGATATGCAGTTTTCACCCGTGCTCGTCATCTTGAGGTATTCTTTCCAACGAACTGATGATCCTTGCTACTGGCAGCTCCATAATTACCAAATTTTACTGTTTAAATATGTGCAGCATATAACAGAAGAATGTTTACCGTCATCACAGTGTCAGCAATGTTGCAGACTGCCATTATTGTACCGTTAGTTAGAAGTTTTTATGACTCTTCAAGAAGATACGTAGCCTACAAAAGACGCACAATCAGCATAGTCAACTATTTGCAGAGCTTCGGATCCTTGTTGTTAATGAATTAAGATGTGCCCACTCTTGTGAACTCCTTTAGCATCCAATCCTCCGCAAAGTCGTTGGGTTTACGTTATGAACCTTGAGGAAACACTGGACGCTCAATGCCAATGGGGCTGCCACACGATTAGAAAGAAAAAATCATATTCAACGTCTAAAACCACCATTGTTGATACCATGGTTAATGCATTTCACAACTTTGAACAACAGGGCGAAGGTTATCTCTCGGTGCAGTGTTTCACAGCCATCGCTCCTTACGCTTCAATGCACGACGATGTTTGTTCAATGGCTTTCGAGAAGGACATCTGTTTAGTGATAATCCCATTCGTTAAAACAGATAGCCTTTTATTCGCAAAGGTGATAAAACAAGTGTTGAAATTGGCACCGTGTTCAATTGGAATCTTCTTTGATCGTGGGATATTTATGGACTCTAGACCACTTTTTTTGCGTAAAGGTTCAGTTGCAGTCCATGTTTGTGTGATTTTTGTAGGGGGGGCTGATGATCGTGAGGCTCTTGTATACAGCCAACGCATGGCGGAGAATACGAAAATCTTTGTTACAGTCATCCGGATCGTTCCCTTACATTGTTCTACTGCTGATTTGATAGAAGAAAATCATGATTTAGACATGATTAATAGTTTCAGGGTTAACACGATGAAACATAAAAATTCTGGTTATATTGAGAGGAGTGTTGCAGAAGGAGCTGACACAGCAAAAGTGCTTAATAATTTAGGAAATGATTTTGATCTCTTCTTGGTTGGAAGAAGACATGATGAAAATACACCTGTATTGTCTGGATTATCAGAGTGGAGCGAGTATGAGGAGTTGGGTATAATTGGTGATATATTGGTTTCTTCAGATTATAAGAGCAAGGCATCAGTTATGATAATACAACAGTCGTAGATGAAGTGGTTGAAAGCTCAAAAGGAGTCACTGAAAGTTCAGAAGAATCAACCAGGCCACTTCGATAATCACAAAATAATTAGAACTGTTATTGTTGTATCAATTAGGTCCAGATTAATGAAGTTATGTGCATTTTCTTCTGTTTTGTGATTAACAGTATGCAAAATATTCAGCTACTCAAAATTGTTGTTGCAAAATATCATATCATCTTTTCCATTTTGCAGTTATTTAATTATATCGAAATCAAATGTTTAGCTTATACGATTTGAACATCAAACGACATCTCAATACCTGATCTGTGATTCTACTAAGAGCTTGAAAATCTTGCTCTGGAATTTCCCATCCAAAGACCTTAATATTCTCTTTGATCCTGTCAGGGTGGGTTGATTTCGGAATGACAAATCCAACACGATACCATCTAAGTATAAAATAAAGACACGATATAATGATTTATCCTAATTCCTTTCAATTAAGAAACTATGTCTAGTATTCAAATTGAGAATTTTATTGAGTATCAGAACTTTACAGCAATTACAATGGCAACTCATTATTCTCTCTATTTTCTCACATTTAGGTTTTCCACTATTACAGAAAATACATAATAAAAAGCTAATAATTTCAGTTAGCGATTCAATTCAAAACCATTTTTGTCATCTTCAACAAATAAGTCTTAAGTCCAGTCAAAGAGCATTGATCTCGGCTTCATTATTGCTTGGAGGAGTTTCATGTTCTAAATGAATCCATGCAAATGCAAGCCACACAATTAACGGTCAAATATCATCTTCTCAATCTTTTACTCAAATAATTCATGTAAAACTCAAACTACTGGATATCTTTTCTCTTCGTTTGTCCAAAAACCATATGTTCTTTGTAGCTTCTCAATCTTGTTCAATGGCATTCGAAAAGGATATCTCTTTAGTGATAGTCCCATTTGTTAAAACAGATAGTGTTATATGCAATAAGGTGATAAAACAAGTGTTAAAAGTGGCACCGTGTTCATCAGTCAGAGTGTTCTTTGATCGTGGGATATTTATGGACTCTAAACCAATTTTGTCACGTAAAGGTTCAGTTGCAATCCATGTGTGTGTGATCTTTGTAGGGTGGGGCTGATGATGGTGAGGCTCTTGTATATAGCGAGCGCATGGCGGAGAATATTATAGTTTTTGTTGCAGTGATCTCGTTGCCATACATCGTTCTACTTATGATTTGATAGAAGAAAATCATGATTTAAACATGATTAATAGTTTCAGGGTGAACACAATGATTAATAAATATTCTAATTATTTTGAGAGGGGTGTAACAGAAAGAGCTGAGACAGCAAAAAAATCACCTCTACTGTTGGGATTAGCAGAATGAAGCGAGCATGAGGAGCTGGGTGTAATTTGTGATTTATTGGTTTCTTCAGATTTTTTTAGCAAGGCATCGGTTATGGTAATACACAACAAGCTCCAGTTGTAGATAAAATTATTGAAAGCTCAAGTTTAGTCCTTATCCAGGCGGCTTATTAGAACTAATATCATTGTATCAATTAGGTCCAGATTAATGAACTTAAGTGCATTTTCTTCTGTTCTGCAATCAACTTCAATTATGGAACAGTATGTAAATATTCAGTTTGTTTTGGAATATTGTACTCATAGCAAAGAGGGTTTTATAGAGGATTACAAAATCCCTTTTCCATTGACAAGAAACGATGAAATGATGATCTATTTTGGAAAAGTATTCAGAACCTGAAAACTAATGTCACCGATCAGTCTTCGTGGTCCCAAATATCAGCCACACTACGGAATGGCCCTTCCCTGTTGTTCACAGAGATTTCTTCACCATCTAGCGCTCGTCTCTGAACCCATAAAAAAGAAAAATATATCATCTTTCCCGCTTTCCAATTATTGATGTAAAAATCAGATGTCTAGCTTATACGATTTCAAGATCAAACGACATCTCAATACCTGTTCTGAGATTTTACAAAGAGCTTGAAAATCTTGTTCTGGAATTTCCCATCCACAGAACTTTATTTTCTCCTTGATCCTTTAAGAGTGGGTTGATTTCGGGATGACACTTATCCCTCTCTGCACAGCCCACTTCACCAAAACCTGCCCTGGGCTCTTGTTCAGCTTCTTTGATACTCTTTCTACCGTCTGATCATGGATGAGATCTCTGCCTCCAGCTTGTGAGCCTAATGGTGAGTATGCCTGATAATTCCATTCAATTAAATATCGTCAACTCACCCACAAAAGATATCAGTAAACTAATCCAACACCATCCAAATATTTGGTCTTACAGTGACATGGATACCATTCTTCTTGCAAAATTCGAGCATTTTATCATTTCTCCATCCTGGATGCATCTCCATCTGAGGGCAAAAGCATCAAGTTTTAAGTTGTTAACATGTTGTAGTTATGTCCCAAGAGAATTAATGTACTTCAAATCCTAACCTGACACACAGATTGCATTATCTCAGCACATTTCAGTAGCTTATTGAGCTTCTTTATAGTGAAATTGGAAACGCCTATATCCCTAACAGGGTTCTCCATTTCTCTCCAAACCCCTTCCATGTCAAAGTTCTGAAACTCCCCAGCCTTGGGAGGTCTGCTGGCTCCTTCTTTAAGGTGGAATGGCCAATGAATCTATAATTAAAACAAAGTTTTTAATATTTAATACGACGAAACAATCAACAGCAGACTCAGATTATTTAGCAGATATAGATCAAGGTAGTCAAGTTGGAGTTCTTGAAGGGTTTTGTTCAATGCAGCTCGTACTCTATCGGGTGACAAATCTGAGCACCTGTATTAATTCACCATAAGAATTGTTTCTTTCACTTTTAGTAGTTTTTATACCAAAATCGTAAGTGTACTATGATTCAATTTGTTAATACCAAAGCGTAGATGTGACGAAGAGATCCTTCCTCCCAACTCCTGCATTCATGGCCGCCTTAAGAGCATGTCCCACCTGCGACAGAAAGGGAGATATATGATAGTATTTCTATTTCTACACATTGAATCTTGCAAGAGAGAGAGATTTTTCAGAGACATCTTCTCGAACTCCATACTGTGCAGCCGTATCTATGTGTCTGTAACCAGCCTGCTTAAATGATAAAATTCTCATGGGAATTATAATCTCATGTAGCCAATGAAACGGAGAATAAAAAGTTCATCACAGTACCTCAACAATGGCAGTAAAGACCGAGTTGGTAGCTTCAGTGCCAGTTTGCCAAGTGCCCAATCCGACGGCGGGAATTGTGTGAGCACTCTATAGCCTAAACGACTCTATTTGATCAAGTGGTTCAACTTTTTCGTGAGCCATTTCTGTTTTCGTCTTTGAAATAGTGCTTCCTTTTCAAGCAGCAGCTTTAAAGTTTGAACTCCTTGTCTAAATCCCATTACAATTGTTACCAACATATAGAACCTTACAAAACTACAATGCTTCTTGCATGAAAGACACGTCCAAGACCTTTCAGGTGAGCGTCCCTCAAACCTGTGTTAGCTTCGGACACGTTAGGCCACCAATTTATTATTAGAGTAAACGATATCTTTTCCCACCCAAAAAGTTCAAAAATATCACTTTCCCACCCAACATTTATTTTATGTTAATACCCAAAATACACTTCACTTTCTCAACCAGCATTCAGCGAGTTACCAAGAGCCAAGGTAAGAGAGTTTTGTAGAGTGGAGACTGGTGGATCAAATGGTGATGATCGATTGAATATTCGCCCTTGAAATCAACTAGAAATTAGCTAAAAATATGAAACCTTAGCTTCGCGGTAGCCGACAATCGACGAGAAATTAAGTGTCATAGTGAGAAGGTTTTTGTAAAGAGAAGATTAGAGATTCAAATAATGGTGATGAGGAGAATTTTTTACATCGGAATTGACTTTGGATAGTAACGGAATCTTAACTTTGAGTGGAAAAGTGGTATTTTAAAATTTTTTGGGTGGGAAAGTGTCAATGTGTCATTAAGGCAAAACTTGGGTGAGAAAAAGTTGTTTAGTCTTTATTTTTACAATAATGCTATAGACACCGAAGGTTTACACCGAATTTTTGCACCAACAGACGTGTCATCTGAGTCAGACACAGTCACGTAGCACACTAACAAGTATTCCGCGAATGAATAGTCGTCCATCAAATATGGACGAGTGTCCATGATTATTAGACGACCGTTTATTTTAAATGGACTCCTATTCATACGAAAATAACAATGAACTCCCGTCCATATAATAAGGACGGGAGTCCATTTACTATAGATAGGTGTCCACCTCGAATGAACACTCGTCCATAGTTTAAATTATAAAACAATAATAATAGACGCATGCCCATGTTTCATGGACGAGCATCCCTATTATATGGACGTCTGTCCATAAAATGCACCATCAAATTCACTCTTGGAATCTTTATTTATGAGAGATTGTAGAGTCAGATGTCGATTGACCGCATATCTCACCAACACCACATTTTGTTTTTTTTTTCCATAATCCATAAAAACCATGAGGTTCATTATTTTTTAAAGTTTAAAGGGAACTACTAAATTGATAAACATAGTAATATAAATTAACTACTAGTTTTGTGGTCACAAGATTTTAGCCATGTGATGGGTTACTTAGAGTTTTTATATTCAAGTCTCATAAAGTAATCACATAACCTATTAGGGCTTATAGAATATTCAATGGACTACGGAGATTAGTTGTGAGGCTTGTAGAGTGTTTAATATATCCCAAGATTAGTTAAGGCATGCATAAAAGAAAGTAAACATCCCAGTTATTAAATAAAAATATATATATTAACTTCATTTGTCCAATTATTGGATTATAATAATCGAATTATGGAGTATAAGTTTTTTAAGAAAATAGTATTGATTTAAGCATCAGAGGAAGAACAATTGCGTCTATAATTGGTCAGAAGTAAGACTTTTGTTTTTCAAATTGTCTTCATTTAACCAGACTTCAAGGAATTGCGCCGCCCAAAACAAGTTTTATCTTGAATTTTTTTTTTTTTTTTTTCTTTTTTTTTTATGGTATTGTATATGAACGCTCTTGATAGACAGACATCCATTATTTTATTTTTAAAATTTTATGGACGAGTATCCATACAAGGTAGATGCCGTTCTATATCGTATGAATGAGAGTTCATTGTTAGTTTCATGAATGCTCATCCATTCGTAATGAACGATCGTCAATAAAATATAGATGAATGTCTATAATTATTAGATGATCATTTATTCACGAAAGAGGTGTATTGTCTTCAATGTAGCCGTATCTAATTGAATGTCATATATGTAGTACAAAAATACGATACAAATCGTTGGTGTCCGTAACATTATTATTATTATTATTTTCACGGCAGTTGAGGCCTTTTCTGTTGGGCTTGTCCTAAATCTCGTTTGCGCATTCGAACTAAGCCCAAATGAAGTATTCTTCTTTATCAAAGCACGTGTTAAATTTCCCCTTTCCTATTCTTAAAAAAAAAAAATATAAAAAAATAAAGCTTTTCCTTTTCCCAACAAAAGGAACATTGCAGAGAAGGCGGTGATGGTGGTGGTGGTGGTGGTGGTGTTGCCAGTGAGCTCAAGTGTATCACGTGGATGAAATCAACACCATTAATATTTAACCCACCTACCCATTACCCAACGTGTGATCTACTCAGTTGTGTCAACTTCTTGCAAAAGCATTTAATGCAGTCTGAAATTAGAGCATTTTAAAACAAACCACCAAAGGATTTTGCAATGGATGAAACAGACTGACGAAGAAAATGGCATTGAAAAATTGAATGGTAGCCAAAAGAAACAAAGAGGGTAATGTGAAAAGAGATTCCATTCAAAGTCCATATCAAAACCACTTGATATTGACACAACGCTCCAGCTTTAATACTTCTGCAGACAGTAGCATCGCAAAGCCCGTGACAATGGCCGCAATGGTTCCCTTCACTTTTGGCAACAAATTGTTAATTCATATCAAAAGTCCTTCCAAAAACAAAAACAAACCAACAACAAATCCCCAAAAATCAACAAAGTCAGACTCAGAATAGCATCTCAGATCATCAAAAACCATTCACACAACCAGCCAGCCTTATTGAAAGTAAAAATCCAACACCCAACAAAAGAAGAGAAAAAGAGACTGAGCATGAAGCAAAATCACTTTCAAAATCCAGACACAAAGCCATTAAAATCTCTTATTTCAAGAGAGACACAGTCCCAAACAAAAGCAAAAGCTTATCTCCTCTGCTGCTTCCTGTGTGTCTCCCATTCTACTACAAAGACTTAAAAAAACCAATCACCCAAGTTCAAAAACCTCCCTTTAATTCTTCTCTCCACAAACACAAATCTGGGCTGTGTAATTAAACAAAGTTAATCTGATTTTCTTCCACTATATATGAAGCCATACAAAGAGTCAAAATAAACATGGTACCAGTACCACCATATTTTTACATATCACATTAATACTAAGTAGACTAGAACAAGTTCACAAACATTTAAGCAATTTAAACTCTCCAAAAAGAACAGATTAAGATTATCATAAGCAAAATACTCTTTCAAGAACTAATTAGAAAGTATTTAAAACAGCTTAGACGAGGGTGGATTTCCGGACAATGTAGCGATAGGCGGCAACCTTTTTCCTCCGGGAGACGGTGTTGTCGACTGAAAGCACCATTTTGCCAGCTTCCCTTGATGTAAATGAGTTGTGAATAGCTTCTTCTGATGGAGAAATCTTCCTCGGCTTCTCAACTGCAATGGTGTAGCTCCCTTCAGCATTGGGAACGAACTCTGCACTATATTCCAAATCCCAGCCTCCCACAACTATGTCCCATGTTATTGTTGCACCAGCCTGATTATTAAATAAATTACCCATAATAAACCTCCATTAGTCCTCAATAAATTGGATCTAGAAAAAAATAAAGAGAATTTTTAAGTATAATTGAATTTGAACCTCAATCCCCTCGATCTGAATGTTAACTTTCTCTCCTCCTTTGACAGTGAACTCAGAAGCCGGTTTAGGTGGGCCGTTGTTCAAATCGCTGGGTCGACTCAGTCCACCATACTGTACTGGAATGTCTTCTGGCCTTATAAATCTGATCATCAAATAACAAAATCCGCTCACATCATACCAACTAAAAGTTGAAACTTTTCAAATAATAAATGTGAACCCGTTGAGAAACAGAGCAAGTGAAACAGAAATAGGAACTGAAACTTCTAACCCAACTGTAGAAAACAGAATTTGAATAGATAAACACAAAAGCCAAAAACAAAGCATGTGGTGTAATTAAAGAAGAAAACAAAAACCATAACAAAAACAAAGAAAATGTGGAAATGAAGAATTTTGAAATTTGAATATTAAAAAGGAAAGAACAGAGAGAAAAGACTCACTTGTAGAGTGTCTCCGCGACATGACCTTCCTTAGAAATCACAAATTTGCTCTTAGTTCGCTGAGTTAGGAACGGACTGAACATTGAGTACAGCATACTGAAGTACCATGGCACATTGATGAAAATCTAAAGCCAAACCCAAAAAAAGAAAATCCACAAGTCAACATTTTTAAAAAGAAATGATGGAGAATAAAAGGAATGTTAGAAGAAAAAACATAAAACAAACAAAAGAAGAATTTAGAAAAGAAAATTAAAAAATTTTGACCTTGCGAGCAACCATTTCAGGGTAATTATCTTGAAACAAAGAGAGGATCTGATTAGAGGCAACTCGAAGCTCTCTTTTAGGCATGTCTTTAAGATCAGTAACTTGAATAATAGAGTTAATACCACCAGGCTTAAAATGCAAGAGATTTATGCCTCTCTCTAAAACCTGAACTCTCCACCTTAAGAATTTCTTCAGCTTCTCTTCATCTCCAAAAATCCTTTCATACATATCTTTATCTCTGAAAACTCCATAAGCATTGTAACAAACAGGGTGTCCTTCTTTATCATACCCTTGCATATACGCCACCACACCTTCAAGTTCTTTGAACCCCAAATCTTCCTCTACGACGCCGTCTGCTCCAAACTCCTTCCGCCAAGCCAAACACTTCTCCAACATGTTAAAAGAATCCTGGACTCTGAAATCTCTTGCTCTCAAAAACTTCAAAAGTATCACATCGGCTTTTTCATCGCCACCCAGAAGACGAATACCCCACATGGAGTACTCATTATCAGAGCCATGAGAGTCCACGAGCTTTTTCTTGAGTTCCTGCAAAGCTTTCTTCTCAGATGATTTAAGACTTGAGATAAAGTAAGAGTCTTCTTTGAAAGAAGGAGTCCGAAGAGTCGCTGCTTCCATTAGCGTAGTGACGAAAGATTTCTTGCCGTAGGGTTTCGGTGAGGCCTCTGGCAGTGAATCTTGTTGTTGAATGGACATGGGTGAAGAGTCCACCACTGATTTTGCCTCCATTAACGTGTTGAGATTGTAGAGATAATGTGCGTTACCCTGCTCTCGATTCTCTCTGAACTGCAGAGTTCTGTACTGAAGAAACTAAACAGGGAGCAAATGAGAGTGTTCAAGTGACACGGACACAGCAGAGAAAGATAAAGAGAGAGAAATTCATAAACTACAATCAGATGTGATGAGCCGGGACTTTTGTTTGAACAAATATCAATTAGCGGCTTAAAAAGAAACAAATTTGAATGAGTAATGAAGTGATGTCACGCGCTATACAACCGCACGTATGATTGAATTTTATTGATTTTATTATTATTATTATTATTATTACTTTAGCCGAGGTGAGCCGAGTTGAGTTTGAGAGCTGAGTGAAATTTGTACGGAGGATGGTGGTGGCTTGTAGAGGAGGTGATAATTATTGAGAAGTTCAGAGAGGTGAAGAGAAAGAAGCACAGCTGACAGCACGGGGTTTGGTTGGGTGTTTTGGAGTGGGACCCGTAAAAGCTTAGTTTTTTCTTTACGTGGGCCCAGCCTCTGAACACGCCTCCCGAGCTCCAATTCCGGGGGCCAAACACAAACAAAAGACATTTGCAAGCAACATAATACAGTCCAAACACACTTAAATACAAAGCCTAGAGTCTCACAAAGTAATCACATAACCTATAGGTTATAGTATTCAATGGACTACGGGATTAGTTTGAGCTTGTAGAGTGTTTAATATCTCCAGATTAGTTAAGCATGCGTAAAGAATAAACATCCCAGTTATTAAATAAAAATATATATTAACTTCATTTGTCCATTATTGGATTATAATAATCGAATTATGAGAGTATAAGTTTTTTAGAAAATAGTATGATTTAAGCATCAGAGAAGAACAATTGCGTCTATAATTGTCAAAGTAAGACTTTTGTTTTTCAAATTGTCTTCATTAACCAGACTTCAGAATTGCGCCGCCCAAAACAAGTTTATCTTGAATTTTTTTTTTTTTTTTTTTTTTTTTTATGGTATTGTATATGAGCTCTTGATAACAGACATCCATTATTTTATTTTTAAAATTTTATGAATAGTATCCATACAAGGTAGACCGTTTATCGTATGAATGAGAGTCATTGTTAGTTTCATGAATGCTCATCCATTCGTAATGAACGATCTCATAAAATATAGATGAATGTCTATAATTATTAGATGATCATTATTCACAAAGAGGTGTTTGCTTCAATGTAGCCGATCTAATTGAATGTCATATATGTGTACAAAAATACGATACAAATCGTTGGTGTCCGTAAATTATTATTATTATTATTTTCACGGCAGTTGAGGCCTTCTGTTGGGCTTGTCCTAAATCTCGTTTGCGCATTCGAACTAAGCCCAAATGAAGTATTCTTCTTTATCAAAGCACGTGTTAAATTTCCCCTTTCCTTTCTTAAAAAAAAATTAAAAAAATAAAGCTTTTCCTTTTCCCAACAAAGGAACATTGCAGAGAAGGCGGTGATGGTGGTGGTGGTGGTGGTGTTGCCAGTGAGCTCAAGTGTATCACGTGGATGAAATCAACACCATTAATATTTAACCCACCTACCCATTACCCAATGTGTGATCTACTCGTTGTGTCAACTTCTTGCAAAGCATTTAATGGTTGAAATTAGAGCATTTTAAAACAAACCACCAAGGATTTTGCAATGGATGAAACGACTGACGAAGAAATGGCATTGAAATTGAATGGTAGCCAAAGAAACAAAGAGGGTAATGTGAAAAGGGTTTCCATTCAAATCCATATCAAAACCACTTGATATTGACACAACGCTCCAGCTTTAATACCTCTGCAGACAGTACATCGCAAAGCCCGTGACAATGGCCGCAATGGTTCCTTCATTTTGGCAAAATTGTTAATTCTATCAAAGTCCTTCCAAAAACAAAACACCAACAACAAATCCCCAAAAATCACAAAGTCAACTCAGAATGCATCTCAGATCATCAAAAACCATTCACACAACCAGCCAGCCTTATTGAAAGTAAAAATCCAACACCCAACAAAAGAAGAGAAAAAGAGACTGAGCATGAAGCAAAATCACTTTCAAAATCCAGACACAAAGCCATTAAATCCTTATTTCAAGAGAGACACAGTCCCAAACAAAAGCAAAAGCTTATCTCCTCTGCTGCTTCCTGTGTGTCTCCCATTCTACTACAGACTTAAAAAAACCAATCACCCAAGTTCAAAAACCTCCCTTTAATTCTTCTCTCCACAAACACAAATCTGGGCTGTGTAATTAAACAAAGTTAATCTGTTTTCTTCCACTATATATGAAGCCATACAAAGAGTCAAATAAACATGGTACCAGTACACCTATTTTTTACATATCACATTACTAATTAGACTAGAACAAGTTCACACCATTTAGCAATTTAACTCTCCAAAAAGAACATGGAATTGACTTTGGATAGTAACGGAATCTTAACTTTGAGTGGAAAAGTGGTATTTTAAAATTTTTTGGGTGGGAAAGTGTCAATGTGTCATTAAGGCAAAACTTGGGTGAGAAAAAGTTGTTTAGTGTTTATTTTTACAATAATGCTATGGACACCGAAGGTTTACACCGAATTTTTGCACCAACAGACGTGTTATCTGAGTCAGACACAGTCACGTAGCACACTAACAAGTATTCCGCGAATGAATGGTCGTCCATCAAATATGGACGAGTGTCCATGATTATTAGACGACCGTTTATTTTAAATAGACTCATATTCATACGAAAATAACAATGAACTCTTGTCCATATAATAAGGACGGGAGTCCATTTACTATAGATAGGTGTCCACCTCGAATGAACACTCGTCCATAATTTAAATTATAAAATAATAATAATAGACACATGTCCATATTTCATGGACGAGTATCCCTATTATATGTACGTCCGTCCATAAAATGCACCATCAAATTCACTCTTGGAATCTTTATTTATGAGAGATTGTTGAGTCAGATGTCGATTGACCGCATATCTCACCAACACCACATTTGTTTTTTTTTTTTTTTTTTTTTTTTCCATAATCCATAAAAACCATGAGGTTCATTATTTTTTAAAGTTTAAAGGGAACTACTAAATTGATAAACATAGTAATATAAATTAACTACTAGTTTTGTGGTCACAAGATTTTAGCCATGTGATGGGTTACTTAGAGTTTTTATATTCAAGNTACTTCTACTGTTATGTTATTGAAGGTGTTGAAACAATAATTTGATTTACAAGGAGTTTGCAGTTTGTTTTCTATGGCTTATTTTCTCATCCTTATAAACATATTACAACTAGGTTTATATAGTACTAGTTACATAGTTAAGTTAGAGATAAATTCAAATTCGATAAAAACAAAGAGTTGTATGAACTTCAACTTGAGATCCATATCGCGAAATATCTATATGTCGAGAAAGGATTTTATCTGCTCCGAATTCTCCGTACAACATTATATAAGTTGAATATCCCATATAAAATTTAGGGAGAAATTTGATGTTTTTCTAGCCATGGGGAATAAATATTATGATATATTCAGCGGTTCATAGATATTCCTTCAAAAAAAGGAAAGAAGAGAGAGGAAGTGAGGTGGGGCTTTAAATTATCTTGACTCGTATGGAACCAATTTAATTAAAACTTGAAACCGAAGTAATTAACTATAATTAAGGTGGTTTAACTTAAACAAAACAGTGTGGACGATTGTGGACCTTGTGGTTGCTTTCTTTGCTTTGCTTTGTTTGTGTCTGGAAATGGGGTAGTGCTTTCTGGTAATCTGGTCCAGCTGGTGGTCCTATCTGGGCAGAGATTGTTTTGTTGCTGCTAAGTGTGGTGACTAACTTTTAAATTTTTTTCTTCTAGTTTCATGATTTAGTCATGAATTTTCGTTTCACGTTAGAGATAATTAAAATCGAAGAAACATCCCATAAAGTTAAAGCACAGTGTACTCAACAGTCCACTCTCTGAATCTTGCCGTATACTGCATTCTTGGGAGAATAAAATTATATTTTGTTAAAACACAAACCCCCTTCTGTAATTTTTCCTTTGAAACAAGGTTCTATTCTACTGGCTCCGTCATTGGAAGATACTGCTGGTGTCTGGAATTAAATTCATTTTGGTCCTTAAACTTTCGTCGATTAAAAATAAAATCCAATAAAATCTGAAAGTAACACTCAAGTCCATTTGGTGTTGGAGAAGACAACTCAATGTCTTCTGATAAGCTACAGAACTCGTCGCGTGTTCACAAGACAGCTTTTCTCTAAAGCAAGGGCATTATCTCATGAATATATATATATATATATAAGTAACACTCAAGTCCATTTGGTGTTGGAGAAGACAACTCAATGTCTTCTGATAAGCTACAGAACTCGTCGCGTGTTCACAAGACAGCTTTTCTCTAAAGCAAGGGCATTATCTAGCAAGAATATATATATATATATATATATATATATTTTTTTTTTTTCCTGGAGTCTAACATTATTGAAACAGGTCAAGAAAAATAATTTGAACTCAATGTGAAACATCGTTTTCAAACGTAATCCAAATCCTTCATCATTGATGCTTCATTCTAGCTAAAAGTTGGAACCGATTGGCCTCCATTACGTCTTGTCAATTACCTATCTTGCATTTTCTATTTGCGGTGTCGTTTGATGCTCAATATCTTCATGGCAAAGCAGGGCAGTCTTTTATGTACACTTTCGATTTCCCTCTTAATTAATATCATTCTTAATAGCTAAAAAAACACAAAGAATATAATGAATGAAGTTTATTTGATTTATGAATTATGATTCGAAAAAAAAGTTTTAAAAATGTTTGATACGATATTCAGAAACTGTTTTCATATTAAAACTACAGAAAATCTGAAATAACTTTTAATCATTTTCTAATTTTACACTAGTTTTTAGAATTTTACTTGAAAATTGTTTTCAAAAAATAATTTGATTCATATCTAACGCATTTTCACAAGATTTTTTGTATTTCTTGTTAAATTATACATCAAACAAACATAAAAAATAAAAATTGTTTTGTATATTTTCATTCCCTACTTTATCACAATATTTGATCTTATATTGTGAAAATAATATTTAGATAATAATTATGAATGCAATTTATATACATTTGAAACTAGGAAAAACCCAAAAACAAACTCAATCAACTAAATCTTTGGTTACAAAAGACATAAATATCAAGAAAAACATCTTTAATCCAAACAATAGACTTAGATAAATATAAAGACAATCGAGCAGTTTCATAAGCATGAACATTATCAATAATTATACCAACTTTTAGTATGGGGCTCGTTTCACTTTGTAACATATGAATAACTCATAAAAGTATCCAACTCCACCGAAAAATTAT